TTATAGAAAACGTAAAGAGAACGTTCTACAAGAAGAAGAAGAAGAATCGTATGTCGATGAGAAAAGTTGAACAAGTTTAAAGATATTATTAATTACCGATCGGCACTCTCTCTCTCTCTCTCTCTCTCTCTCTTGCCAAGAAAGTGACATTCTATTGAAAAGGAAATGACTGGTTATTCGAAAAGCGGATTATTGAAGAATGTTATCTTAACGTTATTGAACAGAAAATGTTATATCTTTTGTCTTACTCAATTTTTTCTTTGGTGAACTTCCTTGATTTGGTGCATCACAGATATGCTCACGCTCGCACGCTCATATCGCTCATTTGCTACAACAAACGATATAACTCAAAAAATAAATTTTGATTAATGTTTTGAATAATAAAAATTTTGTATTATTAATTAATTTTAAAACAAAATTTTGATATAAATTATAAGTAATTATATTATAGAGGAATGAAAGTATGTTTAAAATATTTTTAAAAGTATGTTCTTTTTTCCTTCTGTTTCCGTTTCTTTTTCTGCAAGCAGCTAACAAAAAAATGACAATTTTTAAGTTAGGGTACCGATATGAATCGGGCACTAGTTCCGAATAATTTATATTTATATTTAAATAATTATTATATTTTTTTATCGAATGGCGCATATCACAAGATTTTTTAGTATTTGTGTTAGCTTTCATCAATTGTTAGTTGTTTCTTATTTAGAAACAACGCTATGTATTATTGATCATTAAGTAATAAAATGTAAAATATTAATTTAGGTATAAAATATGTATATTCAAAATTTAATATCTATAAAAGGATTGTCTTATGGATTTACAGGAGATAATAATTAGCATTAGATTTCATGAAAAAAATGAATACTTATACTCACAATCATTCCAGTTAAAATTAAATTACATTTCGCAGGTAGTCTGATCCGCAACTAGACCTAGGGGTCTAATTATAATTTTCATTATTTTATTCAATTAAAATAAAAAAATACAAAATATTATTACAATTGATATAAAATCATCTATATTAACTAGTATATGATTGATTAACTATTAAATATGTTATTGGTTGCTTGATCTTTTTGGATAAAAATAAGAACTTTAGAATAATCTAGAATTAATGTCCTTATTTTATGTTGTTGTTGTACCAAGTGAGCGATGTAATATTACTGATAGGTATATCTGATAACCGTGCAGACATTTTTGCCACTTTTAGCATTGCCTAACTATAAATTAATCGATATCTTTAATATAATTACTTTTGCATAAATTGCATAAATTTTACCAAAATAAGTTAAATGCGCGACGAGTATCAATTTTCTATGCAAATACGTATCAATGGCTGTTTTCATACTCTATACGATGACGACAAATTATGCACTACACGATATGGCGTATAGTTTGCGCAGTAACATAAAGAAAGTTAATTTTATCGCATCCATACCATCATATTTCTATCGACTAATCGCTGATGCCCAAGACGTCCAAGACCAGCCAAGACCTCCTTTCGACCCTCGTCGAGGACGATCGGCCTGAAAAGACGATGATTATCCGTCTTTGATTACATTCATTGTTCGCCAAATGGCAGGAAACTCCTCGATTACGGATTACTACCCTCATTAATGGCCGGCGATGCTCATCGAACGGTCATTAACGTTGTCAGGCGACTACTGAAATCCGATCGGTGGTATCTGAAGGACTTACTCGCGGGAAGAAACTTCAATACCGGATACGGGAGATCAATCATGATTAAAAACCGTGCGAGATGTTACTTGTGGATCGTTTAAAACGAGAATCAAAATGAAAATGGAATTCGTTCGTCGAAAGAGAAACATTACTAGATACGATTTTAAATATAACAGAAAAATGAACATAATTGATCAAAAAGAGTTTTCATCGCGAAATCCAGAGAATCTTAATTTTAATTCCTATCTTTCGTGAAGGGGAAGCGGCACAAACATTTTTTAACGCTGCAACAGAGAGATCGATATACAGGATGGAATAAAGATCGAAAGGAATATATAATATATATCTTCTTCGATGAGAGAAAGGGATCTCATCCGGGAAGATCTGAGACGAAGGGGCGTTTACAATAGCGAGGTACAGGTACAATTCACGGGCGAGAAAACGGGCGAGAGAGGGAATGTAAATTACGTGTAAATATTCCCTTTCTCGGACATCTCGGCGAGACGGGGAGGAGAAGGAGAGTGGAGAGCGCGCTCGTTCAACAGCGGCGTGGCGCGGCGCGGCGCGGTCCGGTTTTTGCTGGCGGGGTGTGCAAGGACAGGCGACGACGGTGTGTTGCTGCTGTGCAGCACCGCTGCATGCTCCGTAGCTGTTCGCTGCTGCTGCTGCTGCTACTGCTGCAGCACTGACAGAGAGAAACGCGTACTGGCACTCGCGATTACTATATATATATACTCTTTGAAACGATAGTAAAAACAGTTCGGGTCCGCGCGCGGCGGGTGCCCGATCATTGCGACATCCGTGCGGCACGGATACGCAGCAGGTCGAACAATGGTCGGTGTGGTTCTCTCACCTCAATTCGGATAAGAGTCGTTTTTCGAGCGCTTACCGTGACTTCGCGAATTCCCTTCTTGTTTTTCGATAAAGATAATGATGTACATTGACCGGTTGGTACATACATGTATTACGTGTAACGCTATAGATAATAGAAGCTTATATGTAGTTGGATCTCACATTTCTTTACAAGCTACCGAACGAATATACGCCGCACATTCTGAAGTTGTTGGAGCAAATGCGATCTCACATTTCGGACGTACTTAATGACAAACTACGACAGTCAAACCTCGATAACTCGAACCTCTTCAACTCGAAAACCTCTATAAGACGAAAATTTTGCTTATTCCCTTCCGCTCCACTGTGGAAAACCTCTATAAATCGAAATAAAACCTATCTTAACTCGAATTATTTGTCAGATATTTACATGTATTATTTTACCTCTGCAACTCGAGTTTAAAATAGCCAGACATTATACATGTCGAAGTTCACCTCTATAAGTCGAACTTCTATTGTCGCTGTCATAGATCTAAAATCCAGCTAAATTTTAAGAAAATGGTTCTTTCCGAGTGATCTTTCGATTTAAGAATCGTACGATACAGTCAAACCTCGATAACTCGAATCTCAAGGGAAGAGAAAAACTCTTCGAGTTATAGAGTTTTCAACTTATCAAAATTCGAGTAAAAGAAGGTTAACAATAAAAATTCGATTTACGGAGGCTTTGTACGAGTTTATAATTTTCCGATTATAATGGTTTTTAAAAGAAAAAAAATCAAAATTTGATAGTGAACTATTTATTACAAATATAATAAATATAATTATAAAACCGAATACCAGGCTATTACTCAAGGTTACACATAGCTACAACTTCGAACTATATAGAGGCAGCGACAATAAAAAATAATTTTATTGGGCCATAGAAATAATTATGTTGGAAACTCAATATTAATGAACAATGCTGCAAAAATTTTGATGGTCTAGTGACCAGTTTGAGCTTCAAATAATTATTTTCAGATCTACATCAGATCAGTTAAATTTTAGGATCTTTCAATAAAATTGGTCTTTCCGTGCAGTAATTCCAGGCTACGGTTCGCTTAATGCTAATAAATGCTTCGCAGTATTTTTTTGGTCAATTAGTAAAAATTCTTTCTTCTGATTGATCAAATGCTTCGAAACATTTTTTAGCGTCAAGGACCGCAGTTATGCAAATGAATCTTTTTATTTATTGCGATAGACATTTTTTGCTTAGCATTTAGCACTGCTTAAATGTAAATTAATTCGACTTTCAATAATTATTATATCCTCTTTTCCTATTTTTTATCCTTTTTCTCTATTGCGCAAATTTCTACGTTTTTAATACTGTTTGTTGGTGAACACTATAAGGCTCTTGTTTTCTCATCGCAAATATTAAATAATGACTTTCCTGAAGAGAAAATCCTGAAGACACCATGTGAATTTTTTTTCTTATGCTTTATACTGAAATAAATCAATTTTTTATTATTCGCGTTTGATGGTGGACATTGGAATATTTTTTTTTATTATCCTGTGTTAGTGTAACTTCATGTATAATTTATAGTCTACAGCCTACGCTTCCAGCGAAAATGGATACTTCGTAACATCAAGGTTTACAGCTTTTTGTTAACCTTTAAACCACTACATCGGTCTCACAGACCGCTATTGAAACGTTACTTGTCAACCATTTTCTTATTTGTCACCATTTAAATATATTTTATTTCTATTGTATGAGATTTTTTTGTTAACCCTCATATTAAAACATAGTTTTCTTTTCCCCCATCACAAATATTCAGAAAACATACATTTTTATTATACATAACTTATAAAATTAGCGAGAGCATAATAGCGATCTGTCAGACCGACATTGTGGTTAGTGTGATTTTTTGGGATATGGTGGTTTAAAGGTTAATCTATAAAAACGAAAAAGAAGCTTTATTAATTTTACTAGTGTATACTAATCTATGCTGTCGAACATAATGTCATGCGAAAGGATTAATTTATTCCAACGTTAATATTGTAAGAAATAAATTCTCTTGCATGATTTTTATTTCTTTATGAATTAATATGGCCGCGATAAAAAGATGAAAATCTTAATGTACCAAAAGTTGCATATAAAAAAAATAGGTAAAAATATTTAAATATGATATATATAAATATATAAATTATATATATATATATATATATACCTGTATATATCGATTTATATATTAAGTAAGAGTATAAAAATATAAAGATAACGTAGCAATGTTTCTCGCAACGTTTATCTTCGATTCCTCGAGTTATGGCGCTCGTGACAGAGAATTTAGAACCGACGCTCACGGTTCCGTTGCCTTTGTTTCACAGGAGGACGGTGGTATCGAGTACTTCAACACCATCGTGGTACAGCCACACCTGAAGCTGGTCACGAACCAGGGCAGGGGTTTTCACGTGAGATGCAGATACCAAACGCGCGACAAAGTCGTAACGAACGATCAGACCCACGTGTCCATGATGCAGTCTCTGCCGTTGCAGGTAAGCAATAATGTCAATAATAAGGCATGCGGCGGTATAAAATATCTTCCTGAAAAATTATCAAATCTCTCGTCAGCCGAGAGTTAATACCTCGATTAAAATTATGCTGATTACCTTCACATTTTATTTGCAAGAGTATTATCGGCCGGCATAATTGATCCGTACATATTGTTCATCAATCAACTTAAGGATCATTCGTGTATTGACTCTCTGATAAGTAAACGGTGAAAAAAAATTTCATGTAAAGTAGTAAATGAGCCATCATGAAATATTTAAACTGCCCGCAGGCAACCGCGCCGATGCCGGGATGCACAATGAAGATCTTCAGCGGTGATCCGACGCAGCATCACGTGGCGGAGAATGTGAAGATCGGCGATCCCTTGACCCTGGTCATTAGCATCGACAAACAAGAGATGTTCGGCTTGAAGATCTCCGATTGCCTGGTACGCGACGGCCTTGGGTGGGGCGAGCAGCGGCTCATAAACGACGAAGGGTAAGTTTAGCTCTTGTGGCACTGAAACACGACCCTTAAATAAGAGTTTTAGCGACGAAGACGAGGATAGTAACGGTAATAAACGAAGCAAAGTCGGTCCCCTTCCTACTCTTCCTTCTTTACGCAATGGGGATTTATTCGACCGGTCTTGTTCCGCAGTTGTCCGATCGACGGCGAGATAATGGGACAGTTCACGTACAACGAGGACAAGACGGAGGCCCGGGTGAACTTCCAGGCGCACAAGTTCCCGTATACGGCGAGCGTGTATTATCAGTGCAACGTTAGGCTGTGCGTCAAGCATGGCGGAGGATGCAGTAATACGGTACCCGTCGTCATTATGATATATAAGCGCGCTAGCTAGCTTGAATAATGGTCCTTCGCGAGAGGAGGATACTGATGCCTAAGTACTGCGTTTATAATAATCCTTTAACGATTTTATAATGGCCACCTATCATTCGAAAATATCGGTGAGCGGCCAATTACCTCACTGGCATGATTATCCGATTGAACTTGCTCACGTTATACAAACGCACGCGCGAGATGTTACGTAATATCTGACCCTATAAGAAGGAATAGAGTCTCCAACTAACTTCCTCGCGAAGAAACTCGCCGCGAATAGTCATCGTTTATATTTCCTCTTTGCAGCCGCCGTTATGCAATTCGATAGCCAGACGACGCAGGGACACCGCGAACAACGACGAGGTGAAGGGTGTCGAAGGCCTGGAGGGCACTCCGGCTACGATCGAAGTGTACAGCGGTCTTTACGTCAACGAGGCCTCGGACATTGGTTCTAAGTCGGACTTCTCCGACGACGTCTTCCGAGAAAGGGTAATACGTCGTTTAATTGATTTCCGCCGCAACAGCAATATTAACTCGAAAGTAGTCATTCAGTTTCTTCTTTTTTCTTGCGTGAATGATTACTTAGCGTGTTTTTTATATCTGAATTAAAAGTCAATTAATTATTTTGAATTGTTTTATTACAATTTATTAGTATATTTAAAATTATTATGTTGTGTATAGGTTTACTCAATATTTTCGAAAAAAATTTAAAGATCAGAAATAAAAAAATGTGGATATTATTCTTGATGAATAAAGAAAATTACTGTGACTCAGCTTCATTTTCTCATTGTAAAAACCATCTGAACAGTGACTATATTACTTCCGGTTAATAACTTTGAATCGCACATTTTACTCACTTTCATAATTTTTTTATTCACTTTCATAATTTTTATGTCACTTTCACTTCGATAATTTCGAATTTTAATCCAATAAGCAAAATCTGTGCTAATAGTTTGTCAGCAAATTCGAGCAGAATATTACGACTCATTGTCACCAATTATATGCTCATTTAACTCGCATTCTACCGGCAGTACCTGCCGATACAATTTTGAGCAAAATCTGCAGTCAATTTGCCATTAATCTGCTATCAGTTAGTTTGTTCTGTATATTACATTATATTCTCGGCATTCTCGCCGACGATTTTGGGCATATGATATGCCCAGGTCTTTTATATATAATAAAAAAAAATACTTGAAGTTAATGGAATTATTATTAGAATGTTGTTTTATGATCATTCAATGCCAATTAGATAATTTACTTTTTTTATTCAAAAAAGCATTTAACAATTTTTTTACCTCTGGCTGCTTCTTAAATAATTTATTTAAATCTTGGAAATCGTGGAAATCTCATCATACATATTTCTTTTAGAAAGTAATTGTGTTTTCTTTACACCAATTGATTAATTTCATTATTTTGTGTATAAAAACAGTTAAGTTATAAAAAAGATAAATAGTTTACGAAATATTTTATATTTCATGTTAAATGTACCAGAATAAAATATAAAATATGTTAATTGATTTTTTTTATTATTCTACATTAATACTTTTGTATACAGAATAAGTAAAATCATATTAGATAAAAAAATTGTGTAAATCCATCTTAAAAAATGGTGATAACCTAATCTTGAAAAATTTGATCTTGAAAAATCGATTTTACCATTATCTCCTTCAGATCATACAACTTTAGTTTAAAATATTTTTTTCGAATAAACCAACCAATTTTTCGAGAAATAATCGCGTAGAAAGATTATCATAAGACCTCTATATTTAGAAAATCGTATTTCGTAAACAGGCACCTACTGGTACTTTATACAGAACTTTATACAGAAATAAAATATAATTATTTTCTAAATACGATTCAATTATGAAAAACACAAACAGTTTTAAACATTTTTTTTTGCTATACTTCGTCCCACTGTGCAACGTTCTGCCGATAAAATTTGTTGTTGTAAACACTTCGCAATATCGGATTTAACTAAGGTGTAATTATACGCGAGTAACAGAATTTTTAAATAAAATGGGACCAAATTCACGCGCGTTTAAAAATTTCACAATTTTCTTTTTTTTTAGGCTATCGATGACCCGAACACCATTTGCATATCGCAGAGGAGTTTCGCTATCGGGATCGCTGTCGCTGGTCTCATACTCATGCTGGCGGTGGTGGCCGCCATCCTAGTACTGCTCGCCAAGAGACGGCACAAGACCGTGTCCACGACGGGCTCGTCCATCTACAGTGGACCGTATACGAACACCGCTTACAGCCACAGTAGCTAAGTCCGCCTCGTTCGGCGCGGAATTGAGATGCCCGAGATATTCCCCCGACCGAAGATACCGAGGATATCCATGTCGCCGCGGCTTCCGCTCGCAGGGAATCCACAGCGGCGCGAGATTTCGCAACGGGTCTAATTCTCGGGCAGGCTCGATCGACGAAGAATTAATTAGATTTTTAGTTGCTTTCGATTCCGCGAGATCGATTTTTCGCGGCGACGATCGAAGCCAACCGGCGTGGCGCCGAGGTTCGACAAAGCGAAACGAACGAAACGCGGAATTTCTTGCTCAACTGTTGACGTACCCGCCTGTACCCCCTTTCGATGTTTCGCAACCGACGACCTCGACCAAGTAATGGCGATGTTTCAAGGGTATTTAGGGAACTGACGATGCAGTTCGATCCTGGATATCAGTCTCTTCTATCTCTTCCTTCCTCACACTGTCCTCATATCATCTTTTCGGAACGGAAAGGTTTTACACCTCTTCGTAATTCACATAAAACTGAATCCGTAGAACGAAGAATTCACGTTTCCAGTTTCTGTTGTGAAGAAAAATACTCGAACGAATAAATCACATGTTTGACAGGATATTATTAAAAGAAGAAAATGAAAAAAAGATACAAAATTCCTTGTGCAATCAAAATTACAGCGCGTTACAAGCAATATTATAGAAAAAAATTAGTTATTATGTATTCATATAAGAGGAAAAGATATATTTTGTATATGAAAGAAAGATTTAATTTGTACATCGGTACTTTCTACGCGCGAATTCCAGCGCATTATTGGGACCTGTTTTGGAACAGAATTACGAACTTCTAGCTTCGAGAACAATCCCTGTAATTTGCTACTGAAATCATCGCGCTTGAGGTAGTAATTATTCCGTCCGAGTTATATATACATATATATATTTTTTAGTGAAACTCTGCTCCGATCGCGAACGTTTAATCGACATGGCTCATTCCGTCGAGAGTTGCATCATTCTAATATATATACATATATATATATATATATATATATATATATCTAATATACTATGCTGTACACTAGTCCGGTATACGCTGTCCTACCTAACACATATCTATCGCACTAAACACAGCGCGTGCGCGAAAACAACAGTCGCGGTGGTCTCTCGACGATTTGATACAATTGTCGCGCGCGAACTCACTCCAGCTAGATTTAAGCCCGAGTCAACGCTACGCGTGAACTTCTCAAATAACTTAATCAAATACTCCGGTGATCCCTCCCTCCCTTCTCGCGTGCAATCGTTGACGTTTTCGACGCCGATATTTTTGCGCTTTGCTCCGATGCGATTTCTAATTTTAAATTCTCCTTCGAATGAAAAAAACAAATCCACGTGTATGCGTGAATATTTTAGATCATTCACACATGACGTAATATACATGTGTAGAGAGAAAGATATTTCCGATCGCGTATATATTAATTCAAAAAATCGCTAGCAGTAGTCAAATACGAAATTGTCGAATCTTTTTTTTTTTTAATTGATCTTAATCCTTTCAGTGTGGGATTTCGAAATACAAAAGTGGGCCTAAAATATTTCCGTATATTTGAGTAATAGTTTATGTATATATAAGAAATTATTGAATACGAATTTGACTTCTCTGACCTTCAAATCTCAAGATGGCGGATTGAATATAGCAAAAAATTTTGCAAAATTAGTGTAAAACAGATTTTTTTAAAAGCAAATTTAAAAATCTTAATGTTAAATTTATATATATTCGTATCCTCTTTTAGTACAATTATTAAAAAAAATCATCACAATAAAATACTTTAAATTGTTGTGATTCCTGAAAGCGCAATTTTGAACTTAATTTTAGTAAATTTTAAAATTTCTAGTAATTTGAAATTTTCAAAAACTTTTAAGAAATAATTTTTGGAAAAAATTTTAATAATATTAAAAAATGACAAATTAGTTTTATGACATTTATAAATATCATAAACACTGAAAGAAATAAGTAGATAAATCAGGCAGTACAAAATAGCTAATTGGTTACATTTTATCTAACGTAATGGTACAACTTGCGGCGGACGTATCAATGACAAAGATTTGATTTCAAAAAACGTAATTGGAAATGCATCTGTGGCGAAGTTTACAGAAAATCTAATTATAAAAGGATGCAACCTAAGATCCAATATATGATGTATGCATGTGTTGACTATTATGTAAGCCGATAAAGCTGCGTGTGAACGGACCATCGCCGTCTTAAAGATGCAAGACAATCATAATTTGGTAACTGCAACCGTAGAAACCAAGTCAATTGAAATCCGCGATCACGCACCTATGCTCCATAAATTATTCCGACCGTCTACGACGAAATGCGATACCCGAATGAATGACGACGTATGCGAGCGTTCAGTATAATCAGATTGTAATTCATTTATAAACGCTTAAACATTAATGTTAATTAGTCTAATTGAAATGAGGCGCTGCCACAACGTCGGTATGGTTCCGGATTGCTCGGGAGCAATCGCGCCGAAGTAATAACCGAGTTTTTTTCCCAGATAGATTTGCACGTTTCGAACGCGATTCCAATCAAATCTGGGCTTATCCGATCCGATTAAAACGTACAGAAACATGCACGTGCAGAGGATGTACCGACCCAACAAACACAGATTATAACACTACAATGTTGCAGCAACATTGTAATATTTCTGCAATATAGCTGGAATGTTACAATGTTGCTTTAAGATAGCAATAACTACAATATTGCAGCAACATTGTAATATTTCTGCGATATAGCTGTAATGTTACAATGTTGCTGTAACATACCAGTTATAATCTGTGTTTGCTGGGGACGTACCGACGTCGCGGCAGCTCGGAGGGCGGTTAGATATGTATTAATTGACGAAAACAAGGAAGCTCTACTGCCAACGCAGTCGCGTAACTGGGTCCAACGTGGTGGTGGGTACATGACATGTAAAATTTTACATTTAGAGAGAAACCAACACCCGTAAACGTAACTCGTTAACTCCTCGTCAAGCGCTAATACGCTACCGTGCGAGAACGGAGTGTTGTGGTATAGTAGTTCTCGCGAAACGACAATGTATTGCGACAGCTGTTCCGGATGGACCCTGACGTGTCGAACGAAACGCAATGTCGATGCTCGTGCGCGCTTTACCGGAAGTGGTCAAGGCCTTTGCCTGGTCTAAAGACTGTGATGGGCATTTAAATCTTCCTCGTGAAAATTTTCAATTATATTACAATTCAAATTGCTTTGAATATCATTCGAAATTCGAAATTCTTGTCATGAATGTCTATAAAATCTATTCTTAAAAACGTTTGACACCTGAAACTTAAAACATTTAAACATCTGAAATTAAAAATTTAAAAAATTTCCATCTATAAATATAAGTAAATTGAAATAATAACAAGATATTATAAGAGAAACATTTTAGGAATTTTTGATTTCAAATAATGTTCGAAATAATTCGAAATTTTCGTATATGTATTCGAAATGATTTGCCGAGCCTATCACTGTCTGTTTTACATACGCAAGGGATACATAAACAATTCTTACGTCGAGCGTCGACATTAAAAAGGTGTCTGTTATTAAAAATCGATACAAAGTAGAGTATCGGCTCGTTATAGATTTTTAACAAACGACACGTACTAGATGCATTTTCTCAATGTTATGTCGAGTTATACTCTCTCTCGGGAGTATTTTGCGTGCGTGGACGCGGGCCCCTTCGGATGATGCGCATGAATTTACGTTTCCGTAACTCAGGGGCGAGATACTGTCATTTCCTCTCGTAGTTTTTCTCCCTCTTCCTTTCTCTTTTTCTTTCCAAGGTATGATAAGTACTACTTCCAGTCCTCCTAGTATTACCTTCTCGAAAAGTGCAATAACTTCGAAGCGTCCCGTGGGTCCCGCGGAATTTCTGTCGAGGGTTGGAGTCGCCCGGCGAACGGATCGCGCGTGATCCCTCGCCGCGCCATGGCACTGGTTCATAGTGATCATTGGGGACGAAAATGCCTGTATAGAATCTTTGTCTCGCGTTACGCGATAACGCGGGTCCTGATGCTCCCGCAATGTTCCTCTGGACCCTTGTCAAAAGAATCTACAACGAATCTGTGTAAATAACGAAAAATCTAATAAAACTGGTAATTGTAGAACGATGTTTTCTCAATATTCCTCCGTCCCATGCGATCCTCCTAAGTGACGGTCCTCCTATCGCTTAGATTATAAGTAGGTGATTTAACCTTACAAGGAGAGGCTCAGACGTGATAATTTTAGAAAAATTTAAAACTTATGAGTTACGGTACGTGAAATGTATTATTTAGACATTATTTTGGCCAAGCAGTAAGATGCACTTTTCAGCCAATGTCAAGAAAAAAAATTTTTTTATTTTAATATTTTATTTCTATTTATAATTAATCAAATTTATAGTAATCAACGGATATCCAATATAAATATATGAAAAACACATATTTCATTTACAATGTAACGAAAATCTGCGATAAATAAAACCCAATGCAACGAGAACAAGCAAATTAAACCCAAAGTAACAAGGATCCGAAATAAAGTATTTTTGTAATTTTGATGATTTGGAAAAAATAGAATATACAAATAATGTGTAATATTATTTATTCTTTAATTGGTATTGGTCACTGTATATCGTGCAATCTTTCATACGTCAGCTTTATAAGTATCATAGTCCGGTCAATCTAGACATTTGAAGTTACATAAATTCGCTGTCAGCTGAAAATCGGTAAAATTGTTCAAAACACAATAAAAAACAATTTCTCAAAGTTCCCCATCGTTCCGGTTTAAGGAAAAAAATTGACTCGAGGTCAAAGGTCAAAAAAATGGGTTTTTCGCGATTTTCTTCAAAACGGTAAGTTTTATCGCAAAATTACCTCAGACATAAATTGTAGATCATAAAATTATCTATAAAAAAGGTATCAATAACTTTTTTCCTAAAAGCCACCGTTACTGAGATATAACGATGCAAAAAGTTGCAAACGTCATAATATGCACACGTTTCCACGCCACCTCTGAGGTAGTGTACTTAGCGCGTTTTTTTTAACGTGATTTCCCCAGTAGGCCTATTCCACGGGTCTGTTGTGATTGAAATTAAAAAACAGAAGATAAAAAATTTATTCGTAGGATTCAGAATCTTCAATTACTTCTTCTTCTTCTTCATCCTGGGTACAAGTGAATTGCATCAATAGCGAAGTATCGCATGTCTCTTCGTCAGTATCGAATGAATCCTCAGCTGTTGGTGATTCAACATTAGAACACGACCGGCCTTGACAATTCGTGCATGCCAGAGAACAAAACAACCCAACTTTTTTGCAACCACATTTAGCACTGCATCCCTTTTTACAGTTGCAAAAAATTGTGTTTAATAATTTTTCCGGCGCAGGTGGGAGTAAAGTTTGAATTGGTTCTAACGTATTATCGACCAACTTCCAACCCCAATCT